AATTACTTGGAAAAAAGTCTGGTTCCATTGACTTACATTAAAAGTAAAACATGTCCTGTAAGTTACCATTTAGGAGCAATATATAGCAAGATAGCACCACATTTTTCTTATTTTTTACACTTTACACTGTAAAACATGAATCAAAATTGTAGTTTTGCATAAAATACTTCAACTTTGAAGGCCCTGGTAACATACTGTTTTTCATGCACAACAATGAACAAACATTACAAAAAAAGAACAAAACAAAAACAAGAATCATAGTTTTGTGTTGGTTAATTTAGGAATAGAACAAAGAATATACAGACACCATCCATAGTTTATTCTTGTCCTTATCCCTCATTAATTGCCACCACAATGGTAGAATTATCCAGCTACAGTAACATACAAATAAACCATACAGATAGGAATACAAATCTGAATGTTGGTTAAATGGGGCATGATTTATAGCCACCCTATTTGTTTTCCTTCAGTGGGCAATCAGTGGCCAAATCTGGTATATCTAGACTCTCAAATCCCTGAAGGTTCTTTCAACTGTGGTTACCTAAAAATGGTGCTAGAGGATCTTATTCTGTGGGCTAGCCCAAGTCTCCAGGGCCAGTATTCACAAAGCATCTAGGGCTGTGATCAAGGCTCAGATTCCTTCTCTAGTCACAGTGATCTTAGTCACAGATACAGATCCTGATCCAAGATCAGATGTACACTGAGATGTTCTGTGAATAGCTGCTGTGTTGAGCACTGAACTCAATAGTTCATTTAGGACATCTGCAGTTACAGCAGTGTATAAAGCTGCCTTCTTTACAAGCTATTAAGCCATTATTTATTCAGACTACTGTCCACTGATGGCCTGGTTCTGTTTAACTGCATATTCATTTTGCAGGCCACCTACTTGGCTACTGGCTACTAAATAGAGAGCTAGCTATACAGCCAGGCCTCATGCTGATAAACACATCTGTTCAGCACTGCTGCAGGCTAGCATTCTTGAACCAGATGCTAGCTGCTAACACTACACAAGGTGTGATCAAAACAAACAGCACAGCCTGTTAGCAAGCCTCTGTATCTCACCAGCAGCTGCAGATGCGTCTCGATAAAGAATAAGAGTCGTACAGAGTTCTAACAGAATAAGCGTTAGAGGCAGATAGAGGCTGTTTAATGAAGGTAGAAACAAGCTAGCCGATAGTTTTATCATGTGTCTTTTTAGCTTTGAAGATGAAGGGGTGGGATGGCTGAACGCGAGGGCCTTTTTCAGAGCTGGCAGTGTCCAAACTATTTGCTGATTACAAGCCAACTCTCCGAAATGTAAACATGATGTCAGCGGACAAGGCTAGCTCCACTTTGGCTTCCATTAGCTTGATTACACTGAATTAAACACGCACTTAGCCATGTGTACTCGCACACGGCCAAACAGTGCTAGCTCTTGAGACACAGGGCAGAGAACGAAAACATGAACTCATTAACCATGAGATTGTGCAACTGAACTGTCTACTCTCGTCTGGACACACACCCTTTTTCAAACACATGCTGCACACATGCTCCTAGGAAAAAAACTTAAGCTTCTGATTGGTTCATACTGTAAAGGAAAACAAGTCTGATACTGTAAGGAAAAACAAGTATTCAGATATTTTGGTTTTTGTTATTTAATATGTTTTCAGCGCAGGAATCCACTTCAAATTAACACACATAAAGACTTAAATATGAACAAAAAAGTATGTATTCATTAGGATAAACAAAGATTTGTTTAGAAAATGAAAATTTCCTTTTCGTTCCATAATATACACTGTTGGAAGTGGGAGAAATATCAGTGCCATTTTATGATTAACACTCTTTATTAGAGATATAAAAATATATTTTCCATTAATATTAGCTGTTTTTCTTTTCAACAACTTGCTGTATACAAAACTGTTATACATGGGTATACAGCATTTTGAAATGAAACAACAATTTTGGAATGAAAGTATTCAGACAGCACAAACCAAAAACATTAGTACTTTGCAAAGCCATTATTGGCAGCATGTCGGTTCAATTTTGACCCATTCCTTTCAGCAAACCGTCTTCAATTCCCCAGTGTTAGTAGTTAGCATTATATGATTAGTACTACTGCACCAAGCTTACAATTAGTGTTACAACACCAAGCTAAACTAATAAACCACATTACATGACATGTTTATATGGTGCATGACATGACAGGATCCTGGCTTTTGCTACCCATTGTTCTCTTCTGTGATCTGAACTGCGATTTCTCTCCTTCTCATGAAGCTAAGAGAAGGTCTCACACAGTAATATGATTCATATTAGAGCTCTGCATTAGCCTCATGGCAATGACATGCCGGTTAACCTCAGAGCTGGAAGGAAAGAAAGAAGGAGAGGAGACGGCTTGCCACAGCCAAAGCACCAGGCCAGACCAACCAGGAGCTAATCTGCTACACATGCTCATCATGGAAATAATGAGACAATGTTAGAACTTTATTTGCATTTGACTTTGGAAGTAGAAGTTTATTTAGATAATCTCATCATAAAGTAGAGAATTTGGCTTCTTCTATGGTCATTTTAAGCATCACTAATCCCTCTGGAATATAAATATGGTAACTCTCCAGAGCTGCATTCCATAATAACTTTGCAGCTGATGATGAACTGCTGAGGATATACAGCTAAAGTTTTAAGGATCCAAAAAGGGTTTCTTTGGAGTGATGACATAGAAGAAACACCTTTGAGTTACCTAAAGAATCCTTCAGTATGTGGTTCATTAAAGAATCAATTTTGTAAACTATTTTTTTAAAATTTGAAGAACCTTCACATAATAGAAAGGTTATTAAAGCTCAATTAAAGCTTTTTTGGAAACAGATTAGATTAGTTTAGATTAGATTAGATTAGGTATCCCTCTCTTCTCCACTTCATTGAAGACCATCCATTTTAAGGGGGAATGCAGCAACGCGTCAAAAAAGAAAAGGGGCGTCGCATCTCATTGCATAAACCCCATTGGATGACCCGGGCCTGCAAGTTACCAATGATGACAAATGTCATAATGTATGGTGTCATGATGGTTGAATAAAGTGCTCACAAAAATCAGCATGACATGTTATGAAACACATGAAATTACCAGTAATCGGTAACATTACTATTTTTTAAAGTTGAAGTGAAGAACTTTCACATAATGTAAAGGTTTTGTTGACACTCTTGACAGCATATGGCATCTGCCGTGATATGTTTATGTCAGTGTTATGTACCAGGGTTTAAAGCAACACTATGTAAGATTTGGGGATTTGGAGGAGATGTGCAGGAGAACATTTTGTAAGATCGGTTGTGCTTCGGCCCCCCGCAAGCAGATGAATCTGACTTTTGAAGAGAGCACTGAAAGAGTATTCAAAGAGAACGTAATCAAAAGCACGTGTCTTTCGATGCAAGTAAATTGTCTACTATTCTTAGCATATCTTCATTAGTTTAATGTTAATTTTGCATTTGAGAGCTAAACATCCGGACCTTCTTTTAGAGCCTGTGCCTGTAATGTTAATATGTAAAGACATATGACATGATCCAAAAAACTCCCACCAAATCCATCATAGTACCTCTGACTTTTAAATAATTGAATTGATTATTTCAGACTTTACATGTTGACTCACAGCAGTGTATGCATATATTTTAGTGTGTTCTTTTTTCTCCATACTCAGTAATGCTACGTCTTTCACTTCTAACAAAAAATATTACATAGTGCTGCTTTAAGTAAAGTATTAGTGCTTTGTCCTAGAATCATATATCCAACATAAGAACCATTTAGGAACCTTTATTTTTAGAAGTGAAATGAAATATTGAAACAAATAACGTACCTTGTCTATGAATGTGGAACCAAAATGAAGGACATGGAGACTTCCATAGCGAACCCTCGGTGTCCTTGGTGTTACAGTTTTCCCACAGCATGGGAGGCCCATGGCCTTCAGTGCATTTGTTGAGCTTAGAGGCTTTGGGGAGCCACTGCTCTGAGCACAGCTTCCTGCACTCAGTTTGTACCTTTGATCAACACTACAGACAAGACAAAGCCAGTCTCAGATCAGCGACAACAGGACCTCAGAGAGATCCTTCATAAAACCTGCAGAGGAAGTCCCTCAGGAAACGACTGCTAGGAGATTATTGAGGTCTTGAGGTTTTTTCTTTATACCAGCCAGATGTATTTCTTCTGGCTGCTCACTAATGTTCATTTCACAAGGGTGGCTTTTTAATAAAGTAAATGTCCATGTTTATGTAATTTCAAGGCTTTGGATTATTAAAAGAAGATTGAATGACGTAGGGTCGACCTCATCAGAGAGATGTTTGCTAGATATTTATTAATAAGAGGAAAATGATATATTTTTCCTTGTAACTGAAATGCAAAACACATGGCAAAGGTTTGATCTTTGCTCATGCCGACAACTGAGACTGGTGACACTTGTGAAGTGGCTCAGCAGACACTTGTAATAAAACATTTTTATTTTTGATTTGAGTTATCAATTTAGGCTGCGGCCTAAAACTTTGCAGACAGTTTATTTGAGGCTCAGATCACATGGAATGTATCTCCTCAGATTTTTATAAAGCATTTTGCTGTTTCAGCCTTAAATTGCTCAAAGTAATGAATAATGTCTTTTACTATTGGAACTGATACCTCTATCACAGTTATTAAATGTTAAGTATATGTAGTTAAATGTAGTTTGGTCAAATGAAGTCAAATAAAATTTGTGCTAACACTTTATTTGAATGGTGCTTTAGGGATTTCTTAACACATGAATAAGCACTAGTTAACGTGTTTAAAAAGCATTTCTCCAGTATTTATATATTATATTTATAACAGCTGACTTTGTAGCTTGTTTTATGTCGCAATGCTGGTAATGTAGGCTTATGACAGCTATCATGATGAGCTTATGTTGGTCTCATAGCTTTATAAACATTTACCAACAGTAAAACTACCATAATGTTGAACGTTAAAATGTTCATGTTTTTTCTACTACCAGTTCATATTTGGATTTCATGTTTTGTAGGAATCTAATGCCTCGTACTTTGGAAGGACAAATCACAATGGAGAAGACCCCCAGCTACTTTGTCACGCGAGAGGCCCCTGCTCGTGTCTTCGCCATGAACCGTCACACCAAACTCATCGTGGTGGTCCGAGACCCCGTCACCCGGGCCGTTTCGGACTACACCCAGACTCTATCCAAAAACCCTGGACTGCCCTCCTTTCAGAACCTGGTCTTCAAGAACTCCACCACAGGTTTGATCGACACGTCGTGGAGCGCCGTGCGGATCGGCATCTATGCCAAGCACCTAGAGAACTGGCTCCGGTACTTTCCGCTCTCGCGGTTACTCTTCGTGAGTGGGGAGAGACTTGTAACGGACCCGGCAGGTGAGATGGGGAGAGTGCAGGACTTTCTGGGCTTAAAGCGGGTGGTCACCAACAAGCACTTCTACTTCAACCAGACTAAAGGCTTTCCTTGCTTGAAGAAGCCTGAAGGAAGCAGTAGGCCGAGGTGTTTGGGCAAATCTAAAGGTAGAGCTCATCCTCAGATACCGTCTGAAGTGCTACTGAGGCTCAGAGACTTCTATAGACCCTTCAATCTGAAGTTCTACCAGATGACGGGTCAGGACTTTGGTTGGGAATGAAAAGTCAAATAGGTCTAAGGTTGTCTACCGATTATATTAGTATTAGAGTGACCTACACCTACAATCCTGTTCTTCAGACTTAAAAGGGAATTTCTCGTTTTTCTTTGTTTTTTTTGGTTTTTTTTACATAATTTAATTTTTCAAATGTTGTACACAAATTCATTCCGAGTGTTTTGGGGTGAAATGTGCCTTTCTAGGGAAACTTCAGAACTGTTCATAGTTATGCTGATGACATCTGAAATATTTAATTAAAACCAGTCTGAATGGCTTTGTTTGAATCTTAAAGATTCAATTATGTAGAATTTTAGGAAAGGCAGTGAAAAAAGGTTTAAAAGAGGTTTTTACAGAACCAACAGCAGATCTTCTATGGCTGTGTTCCAAGGAACCTTTTTGGCACCTTTTTGAAGAGTAATGAAGTGATAATAGTTCTGTGAAAAAGGCCAAAAATGAAAAAAAAACAACTCATCAATAACAAGCATTGCATAGCCGTCCAAACAATGAAAAAGAAAACAAGGAAGCTTTTAAAATGACTTATAAAATACATATAAATACGTGTGCTCATGAGGCTCTGTACCTCACTGTAGGAGAATTTAAAATATGCAAACTGACAACTATGCATTGTCATTGAGAAGATTTTAACTGATGTTTTTTAAGTGTATAATTCAGTTTTATCGAGTAATCATGACAGCCCTAAGCAGGTCACGTGACAGTGCAGGGTGGACCAGGTTTCATTTTGTTGTTCTGATAAGCTGATCACAAATGTCAGTGCCATACAAAAAGCTATTAAGTTTATGACGTTTGTTATGACTGATAAGTCAGTGTCATATGTTGCTGTTATTATTACAGTATTCAGGCCAAGCTGTTTGGAGATTAGTGACTTCTGTTGGACACAGCAGACAAAGTGCAGCAATCTCATGGTTGTTTGATTGGGCAATATAAGTCAAACACAGTCCACAGTGAAACTGAAAATCCTTTTTCTCTCCATCTTTGTTTAAAATAATACTCCAGAATTTTTCAACTTGATCTTACTTTTTTTGCATCAGTAGCAAAGACTTACAATGGACAATAACTTTCTTTATGTTTTAACCAAAAGAACAGGAGGAAAAGACTCAAAACTCATTTATGATAGAAGCTGCTGAAGCAACTGCCCATTGCCTTCAATTATAAGATTATTATCATATTGGCTTCTATTCTGTTCCTCCTCTTCTTGTTGGTGCTTTGAAAAGATTGAAAAGTTGAAAAGATTCCACTCCAATTCCAGGGTGAATTTTCAGATTCCACTGTTGAACCTGTGATATTTGGCAGGTGCCATTACATCAGTACAAAACAAACAAAAGATAAGACTAGCATATAATACTGGCAGTGTCAAAGTCAGTAATCTACATTGTATGCATTTTCTTTCTAAATTGTGCCATCTGTGAAGGTGGCACAATTTACCAAATTTCCAAATCTTAAATTAGCGTTGTTTCTTTTATTCATCTGTTTGTTATACTGTTTAACTGTTCTATTCCATTTTTCCCTTCACCGCAGCATTTGAAAACCATGATGTCAGCTACCACTATTCTATCTTGGTTAAATTCAATCACAGGTACAGAAGCTAGCCGTAAAATAGCTTCCAGTGCCCCATCTCTTTAAATGGATATTCAGTTTGTGGTCTTTAAATGACCCAGCTGTGTCTTCTATATCTGACGTTCGCCAAAACAGTGAACACATTTGGTTGCTATCATCTGACCACGGTTACATAACGAACTTGGAGCAATGAGGGTTGTGCGAATTTCAGTTATACTTCTTTAAGCTCTATACTTCTGTCTCATTGCCTGTTTTTCTCAGAAAAGAAGCAGACAAAACCAGTTTTGTGGACTTTCAAGATATGTATGTGTTGGCTTTCTAATGCAACAGTGCCCATTTTAATATCCCAAGAACCCAATCAGATTTTAGATTTTTTAAATATTTTAATTTATACACTTTTCCAAATGTTTCTCTGCACTGTGCAAATAGGTTTAGCATATTTACTGAACTGGACTTATCCAGGCTCCACCCACAAATGCATTCTATCATAGCTACTGTTGTAAGTTTGGACAACTTTTACAGAACATTGGCAAAAGTACCATCCAACCTACTCTAAGCAAAGTGGTCTTTATTTAGAGTCACTACATAACGCTTCCAGTTAATCAAAACTAGGTAACTACAGTTGCCAACATGCTAACGTTAGTGTATTACATCACCAAAACTACACAACAGTGTAGTAAATTTCATTTGAAAATAGTAACACTGCAAATTTGATCATGTTGCGTTCTCATTAGGTTTCATAAGAATGCATTTGTGGGCGGGACCTTGGTTTGGTCATATAGCAGTTACAGTGCAAAGATGTGTTTTTTGTCCTCAGTGAAATAAAGAAATTAATAACATTTCATTTACCAATTGCAGCTGTTCATATGATGGTTCATCTTAACAGGAACAGGAAGTTCCATTTTAATGAATATTTGCTCTTTTCTGAAGCTTGTGTGTGAAATTCCTTACTGGGTATTTTTACCGGTCATCTTTTCTGTCTGAAATGTTCATAAAAGGAGTTGTGCAGGGGTGGAAGTTACAAGTCATACTGGACTATGCCTTACTTTCATGCAACAATAGCAGACTGCCAGAATATAATTTGGGTTTATTTGCTGTATATTTGTTATTTATGTGTAAAAGATATTGTGGATGTTTACCACATGCAATCGTGCCTGTGATTAAGTGGATTTATCAGATTTTATTTCCAGATCCACTGCTGATACTAATGTTCCGAAATCTAATTTATACTACAATGCAAGCTGCTTATAAGCTGTTCTTGTTCAAAATAAACATATCTGACATGTAAGGTTGTGAGCATGACTTGTTTTCTTGCTTGTTTTTTATTTGCTGTTTCATTAGGTACAGTATTACATATTGCCACCAACAAATCAACATATGCTTTTTTGTTTACTTATTTCTGTTTTTTGACAAAAGCAGTTGCCCTTTTCATCGTTACAGCATTTCTGCCACTGATGCTGAGGGGTAAATATTCATTTTGGAGAACCATATAATGCCATCCAGATGACGTCTTTTTTAGTGGCATGACTTTATAGTGAGAACGTCCAGGCCTGCCGTCCACAAGTGTCTCCCTTTGAAAACACATTGTGCATAATGAAGCACAATATATGGCGACAAATTGCTGAGCAGCTGAAGTGTTAAATCAAGCAAAAATGTGGAAAATTCCACTTTCACAACCACAACAAATGCTGTCTTCAGTTCCCAAATGATTACTAAACATTGTTTCAAGGAAAGGTGATATAATTTAGTGGCAAACATTGCACTGTCCCAACTTTCGAGGAACATGTTGCAGGCATTACGTTTAGAATATGCATATGTAGTATGTAAAAATAAATAAATAAAGTTATTTAGTTGAAAAACACTAAATATCTTTGTACTTGAATACAGGTAAAAAGGATTAGCAAATCACTGCTTTCAGTTTTTATTTACATTTTACCTTCTGTCAACATTTTGTCATTGGGTTTGTTTAATTACATCATCTCTCTTGGAAAACCAAAAGAGGCAAAACAACATGAAATGGCAGGTTATTCTGCAGTTCAGCAAGTGTGCTACCTATCATAACATCTAATCCAACTGAAGATTTAGTGAGTTTTAAAGGAATGCTTACTAAAGCTTAATTTAGATTAGCTACTGCGCCTACAGACTAACCAACTGTTTCTAATTGTTTGCCTGTTTCCTTTAAACACTGCATTAACAGCATATAGCTCCTTGTTCTGTCCATCAAACTGAAGGTTATTCTATAATGAAAGGCTCATTATCTGATCTGTATTGAACCTGATGCCACTGTGGATAACAGCTCTGCAGTAATGACCGTACATGACCATAGTAGAATAGCTTCCAAGTCATATATGTGAGGTCAATGGTTGGCGATCCTAATTTCATCAGTTTTGTTTTTTTTTCAGGCTGAAAATACACAAGTTTCTAATCTCGAGTTAGTTTAAGGCAAGTCTGAGTTGAGTCACGAGTCAATCAACAAGCTATTCAAGAGACACTCAAGCCCCCACCTCTGATAGGAGGCCACACTCCAATCTTGCATGTACTGATTTTATGAAGAATATCTGAAAAGACTTTTGTGCCCTTCATTAAAAACATTTGAACGTTTCCGCTTTGGAAATGTTTTACAGTTCATCCACTGCTAAATTAAGAATAACTCTGTTAGTTTGCACTACTTTCTGTGTAAATACTGAATAGTAAGCTTTAATCCTGGGATTTTAATGGGTTAAAGTAATAAATATGAAATTATTATTTCTGTAACAGGAGGTTTTGTCAGGAATTTATGGATCTTAATTAATTAATTAATTAATTAATTATGCTTTATTATTAGATATAATATAATATAATATAATGTTATTATAATAACATTATATTATATACTCATACTACAGATATATTTAAAGGGTCCCATGTCTTGTATTGTACATATAGCGTTCATTTTTAATGATATGATATAGACAATGTCCCCTTAACTGCTACCATTCCTCTCTGTTTCTGCTGTCTCAACACTAAAGCTAGTTGTGTAGGGAGATTTTGCTCCAAAAACGTCATTAGAGTCATCAAACCCCGTGTAATTAAAAAATCAAAGAAAAACGTGCGCGGTCATAACCCTGATAATTTAATTTGCATAGACCTTAAAAAGACCAGTCCCTCCCGAACACATAGTGTAACTAGCAGAGAATTAAACCTTACTCTACTCAATGTAAGGTCACTAAATAACAAAACCCTGCTGATTCGAGATCTTGTCAAGGAGCATAAGCTGGATTTTATATTTCTGTCAGAAACATGGCTCAGTGATAATGGCACAGCAGCTTTACTGGAAGCTGCTCCTGAAAAGTACAGATTTATGCATACAGTAAGACAGGGCAGACGGGGAGGAGTATGTATTTTCTTTCAAATGAATTTAGAAGTAAAGAAGAAAGTACCTGAAAGTTACTTTAAAACACATTACATTGACTCAGAAACAGTTGAAAAGTTTAAAACTGTTTATAATAGTTCAGCGAATACAGATACGACTCCATCCTGTAATGATCTAGTCTCCGATCTAAGTGCTAGCTTACGGGAAAACCTTGACCTTCTCGCCCCAATAAAAAGGAAGAAAAGCTCACACACTCTCAAAAATCCATGGATGAATGCGCAAATACGCCAGCTTAAGAGAAATTGTCGTAAATCAGAGCGCTTATGGAGGAAAACTAAACTGCAGGTACACTATGATATTCTCAAAGAGCAGATCTCAGTCTATAATAATGCTATGAAAATATCCAGACCGTCATATCTCTCTAGGGTAATCAATAGACACAAAAATAATACCAAAATCCTTTTTTCCACTATAGACTAATTAACCCTAACTTCTCTACTAGTGCGTTTAATGATTTATCTTCTAATATCTGTGAAGAGTTTGCAATTCATTTCCAAAATACAATAGACCTGATACGACAGGTTGTAGCTCAGCAGACGCAAACAAGCTCCTATAATGTTTCTGATAGGCATCTATCTGTTTTCAACTATGAGGAGCTCACAACTATTTTAAACAAACTAAGTTCATCCACATGTGATCTTGACCCTGTTCCTACTTCATTCCTTAAGATGGTTTTTGATTTTGTGCACAATGATGTTTTAACTATTGTAAATTGTTCTCTGTCAACAGGTGTTTTTCCAGATGCTTTCAAAACTGCCCTGGTGAAGCCTCTGCTAAAAAAGAGTAGCATGGATCCTTCCGTACTAAATAATTTTAGATCAATTTTAAACCTACCTTTTCTTAGAAAAAGTTGCTTTCAAACAACTAAATACGTATCTAATATCAAACAATTTATATGAGAAGTTTCAGTCAGGTTTTCGTTCTAACCATAATACAGAGACAGCATTGATTCGCGTTATGAATGACCTCAGGCTCAGCGCTGATGCACAAAATCCTTCTATCTTGGATTTATTAGATCTTAGTGGAGCCTTTCATACCGTTGACCACAAGGTTTTACTCCAGCGTCTTGAATGCTGGGTCGGCCTCTCAGGCACATTTTTAGAATGGTTTAAATCATATTTAAGTAATGGACAGTTTATGGTTTCACTTGGAAATCATTCATCAAAACGATTTGCCATTTCTTGTGGAGTCCCCCAAGGTTCAGTCTTAGGGCCTTTGCTTTTCTCTTCGTACATGCTACCTCTAGGTGATGTTATTAGGAAACATAGTATACATTTTCATAGCTATGCTGACGATACCCAGCTATACATTTCTATTCCTTCTGAAGATCCAGACTAACCAGCTGTGTGTCAGATATTTCTCAGTGGATGTCACAAAATTTTCTACAATTAAATCATGAAAAAACTGAATTACTGATTGTTGGTACAGAAACTCAGAGAAAAATGATTTTTGAGAAACTTGCTGGACTTCCTAAGAAAACTACACATCCCTTACAACTTGTACAAAATGCAGCAGCGCGCATCCTAACAAAAACAAAAAAGAGAGATCACATCACTCCTGTTTTGAAAGAACTACACTGGCTGCCTGTATCATTCAGGACAGATTTCAAGGTTCTGCTATTAGTCTTTAAAGCTCAAAACAACCTAGCACCTACACCTACAACCTAGCACCTGTCTGTTTATGTTCTGGCACTAATCTAAGATCTGCAGATAGTGGCCTTCTACAGATACCCTCTGTAAAATACAGAAAACATGGAGAGGCCTCTTTCAGTTGTTATGCTTCTAAACTGTGGAGCTCAATTTCCACCTTTTATTAGACAGTCAAGCTCAGTGCTCACTTTTAAGAAGCACCTAAAACGTATCTCTTTAAATTAGCATTTAACCAAAACTGAATGTCTTGTGGTGTTTATCTTGTAATTTAATCTTCTTCAGTTTCTTCTGATTCTAATTAAGTACTAATGATCTTTTCTATAACTATGTTTTATCACTTGTCTGTAAAGCACTTTGAGCTGCCATCGGCATGAAAAGTGCTATATAAATAAAATTATTATTATTATTAAATTATTATTCATTTGGTTTTAGGTATCAAAAACATTTACGTGATCATTTTCCTTCCTTGCTTCATCCTGTAGAATGAAACAGCTGTTTTTGTTACTGTACCTTTAAGACTGATATTAGATAAATTACTTCTGTTCTGATTGGCTGCCCAGTACTCAGCAATATAGGCTGAAACATTCCTTATAACTTCAGCATGAAAGGGTGGAGCTAAACTGCTATAGGCTGGATAAATATGCCAGTTTTATTGACATCACAAACAAATATTTGGAAAATGTGCTGTTTTTAGTTTCCATATACGGACCTTATGGACTGGAGAGTGAACGATCCACTTTGAAACGTTTACAAATGTTTACATACTAGATAAAAACCCTTTTATTTCAAAACGGTGTGGGAAATTAAGTTTTAAGCATTGGACTTTGATCTAAATTTGAAATTAACGTGGCGAGAGGAAGCCTTCCAATGTGTGAGCAATCAATTTGTGGGGGTCATTGGAGACCTTTGGCATGGCAATCTTTGACCTATGACCCTCTGGACAACCCCCACGTTGTGTCATATTAAAGCGTTGACCACCCGAGCAGCCCCCTTTTCTCTGAACGCAATTATTTTACACATCCACCGAGGCCTCATTGAACTACAGTGATCAATAACTGCC